CAATAGCCCTTTTTGTATAATATAAGTATATTCCAGAAAATGAAAACAAAACAAAAATCCTAAAAGACAAAGTATGGCTCATTGCAATAAATTCAATACAATTGAAAGGATAGATGATAAAAGATTATTATTTTGCTTAATCGATTTTTCCTGTTTTTTTTTGTTTTGTTTTGTTTTATGTCTATTTTTGTCTTTCATCATTTCTTATCTTTTCTTCTTCTTCTTTTTCTTCGTTTTTTGATGTTTGTACATTTTTCGTTGTTGTTGTTGTATTTGTGTTTGATTAATATTATTATTATTTCATCATATTTCAACTAATTTCTATGAATGTATGAAACAAATCATCATCATCTTTATTTGATTGTTTGTATTTATTTTTCATTTTCGGATTTTCTTTATTCTCTCTTCATACACACACACAATTCTTGTTCCATTCGCCATTTGTATTGAAATTCTTTATATTATTCTGGATAAATATTTTCTTTTGTGTGTGTCTAACATCAGTAATAGTCGCACAAAACATGGTTATGTTTTTTTTCTCTTTTCTTATCATATTCTCTCAGAATTTTTATATTTTTTTTGATCGATTACTTTGTAACAATCAGCAAACAGTCATCATTCACAAGTTGTGAATCACAACTCATCAACCTTTTTTTTCACATTCTTATATCTGAATATATATTCAGAATTTCATGGATCATTTCACAGTAAATTTTCTAAGATCATCATGATCATCATGAAGATCCATATGAACTGTGAATTCTGTTCAAGCATATCTGTTTCTATGTTCTCAATAATAATTATTCAGTTGAAAAAAATGAAGAATTTCTCACATAAACAATAATTATAAATAATGGAAAAAATTAACAACTCGTTCCATATAAACAAACTGGGCCATAAAAATACACCATTCATTCATTCATTTTTTTCTCCATTTTTCGCATTTTGTTTCGTTTCGATAGATATTTTCAAATTTCATAATTTGATTTGTTCAACATATTTGACTAGGCTAGAGATGTTTTCGAATCTTTTTTTTTCCTAGTCAACGTCATCGTCGCTGTTGTTTGTTTTTTTTATCACTATCTATCCCATTATTCTGCTTTGGCCCCGTCTTTTCATCATCACTGCCACCAAAAAAAATATCGCCTTTTTATTCCAAAAAATAAATCTAGGAAAAACCACCACATTAATACACTAGTTATGGCTAATTCAATCTTTTTTTTTTGTTCGCCAGCTTAAATGAACGTAATTGGCCATTTCTTTTTCTGTTGCTTCAATGGGGCTCATATCAATGATGATTATAGACCTGAGCCTGGGAATTGCTTTTTGGTCATTTTGTTTATTATTTTGTTTTATTTTTTTTATTTTATTTTTATTTGATCTTCATCACATTTTATAGCTTTGTTGTTGAATTTTTCATACCATTGGCAAAAGCAGTGAAAACGAATGTGTGTGTGTGTGTGTGTGTGTGTGTGTGAGTGAGAAGAAATTTAATCAAATAACATCCTGAATACCGTTATCTAATATAATGTTGATGATGATGATGACTGGGTGCCATAATAATAATTGCTTTGATGACGATGATGATGATCATCATCACCCATTCCAGCCTTCCATCATCATCATAATAATCATTGTAGATATATAAAATAAATAAAAAAAAATATACACGATTGCCAGTTTGAATAATCAAAGATTTTTATTTATATTATTTTAATGTAACCGAATTTATTCAATGTTTTATGATGTATTCCTATTACTATCATGAAATCATCATCATTATCATCATTGATTTTATTCATCTTGTTTATAAATGATTATGATCATGATTATCCATGAATATCCAATAAAAAATATTTGATTTGACTGAACAGATTACTTATTTTGATTGTCCTTTACTTATCATCATCATCATCATTTATTGCATTGATTGAAATTTTTTGATTTATTTGTTAATTTATTTTTTTTCCGATTTTTTTCCACATTTTCATGAAATGAAAAAAGTTTTGTGTCTAGTGTGTGCTCGAATTGAATCTCAATTGATTGTCTCAATAATAGCTATGACAATATGATCAGTAGATCATATGATGATGATGATGATGATAAAGTTGAAAATGGTTTGCGTGTGTTTGTGTGTGTGTGTGTTCCAAAGTTTTTTATTTATTTTTTTTTTTCATTAGATTTGTTTTAGAATTTTGCCCAAATTTTTTTTTTCGTCCATTGTTTTTATTTTTGCCATTATAAAACAACAACAACAACAACAACAGTGGACAATTTTTTTTTTTTGATGTTGATATTTGTCCATTACAGAGACACACACACACACACACACACACACACACACACACACATACTCAAAATTCCACATTTAATGATCATTACATTTATATTTATATATATATGATACACACACACACACACTTTTAATGGTGAAAATAAAATAGAGAAAAAAAAATCCCAATTTCTGCTAATGTCATCAGTATTTTTTTTTGTTTTGTTTCATCTTATTTCGTATTGCATTGATTCTGCAAAAATATCTATACAATGGAAATTGTGATTTTTGTTTCATAACTTTAAACTATTTATTTATGTGTGTGTGTGTGTGTGTGTGTGTGTTGTGGAATGAAATTGAAAACTTTTGGTTTGTTTTGTTTTTTTTTTTTGTGTGTTGGCAATATTTTGATTCCAATATCTTTTTTGAAAATGTTGAATTTTTTCTTCATATTTTTCAAAAGACAAAACATGCAAAAATTGAATTTGAATTCACAAATTTATTCGTGATTCTTTTGTGCGATACAAACAAAAAAAAAATATATTCTTTTTTCGTCCATTCACTGGAATAATAATACATTTCTCCATATATCAATGACACATTTTTTTTATATATATTTCTAAATTCTATATGTTCTATATTTTCATTCTAACCACGATCATGAATCGATTGATTGACTATCAAATTTGTTTCTATACCGTTGTGTTCTTATTTCATTGCGATCAATCAATCGATCAATCGAACAAAACAAAATAGAACCGGAATCAAACAAAAAAAAAATTCTTTTCCCTTCTCATTCATTCATTTATTTATACAAAATACGATTTTTTTTGAATTTTAAATTGAAAATTTCTTTTTTTTTGTTGTTGTTTGAATGATTAGCTCCATATTCATATTGATTTGTTTTTATTTTCGATATCATCATTTTGATTTCAATTTTTTTGGAGGGTGTCTTCACCACAAAAATGATCCATTACTCTCTCTCTCTCTCTCTCTCTAAAATTATTGATCACTATTCACTAGTCAATTATTTTTTTTTTATTTTTCAAATTAATGGAAAACATTTCAGAAACAGTGATCATGACTATACAGCACATTAATATATATACTAAGCAAATCAATGTATGAATGAATTTTCGTTGGTTTTTTTCCCTATTCTTTCCAAATTTTTGTCAAAAAAAAAAATACCCATTATAACAAAAGTTTTGCTATTTTGACTTTTTCTTGTATAAAATGTTTTGTTCCGTTTATTCGTTTCAATTTTGAAAAGCATCTAATAATATAATAATAATGATATATATAACCATTATATTCATTATATGGCCATAACTGATCTAATTGATTATCATTATGGAAAGTGAACAACAGCAAAAAAACCAAAACCATATGCATCGACAATAATAATAAAACACATGAGATAATGTGATCAAGAGAATTTGTAGATGAGATGGAAAATAGAAAAAAAAAATTATTCTTCATATATATCGTGATAAAATAAATAGAAATTCATATATGATGATTCATATTCGTTATTTTTTTCCAGTCATAATTTTCCCTGCCATTTTTTGTCTATTTTATTATTATTATTATTCTGAATATTGCTATAAATGGATGGATATAAATGAATTAATAAACTTGAACTAAATATTGAGCATAATATTGGCCATTAATTGTCTGCTAATACTACGTAGCGTTGCTGTTTCCATCAAGAAGAAGAAGAAGAAACTCATTCTTTTTTTTGGTCTTTTTAATCATAACTCGTCATTATGATTTTTTTTGGCCATTTAATGCATTATAATGAATGAATGATACCAAAAAAATAACGAATACATACACGGTATATATATATATGAAAGGTTTACGTCATTCAAATAACAACTTGAACATGATTCATGGCATTGATTCATATATATGTATAATAATAATAAATAGGCAATGTCCATGTTGTTTTAGTAGTAGGTGTATGATAATTGTTAAATTTTTCATGTTAATGATGATGATGATTATGATTTTTATGTTTTGTTTTGTTTTGAGAAACTATAATTATAATTTTTATTTTTTCATAATTATCCATTATTAAATAATAATTATTCTCATTGAAATCCATATGGATCATAACGTGTTCATGTTTTGTTTCGTTTTTTTTTTTGTTTCGTTTTCATGGTTACCAGGATTTTTTTTTGTTTGATATATTTTTCTAGCTGGTTAAATTTGTTTTGTTTTATCAAATAATGATGATGATAATTAATCTAATGAAGTAATAATTTGTTTGTTTGTTTATTTCTCATTTCAATAGGTGGTCACACATCTTTGGTTCATAAAATTTTTTGTTTTTTTTTGTCACCTGTTTCGTCCATTTTATTGATTGATCATATTTTTTGTTTGAATATGAAAAAAAAAAAGAAATGATGATGTTATATGAATTATGGCGATTGTTAAAAACATTTGAAACATCATCATCATCATTATCATTATTATTATTATTTTTACTGTAACATAAAATAACACGCACAAAAAACATTCAATTTCACGATCATCATCATTGGGATAATATTGGACAATGGTCAATATATGAAAAATTGTTGAAAGGAAAACAAAAAATTCCATTAATCTAATATTTATTTATGAAAAAAAAGTGAGAACGGAAAGAAAAAATTCTTCCACCCAATAATCACCATTAACCATCATTATCATCATCAACAACAACAACGAAGCTGATCAATTTATTATAAATTAATAGCATCAATAATAATAAACTAGAAAATATTTTAAATATGAAAAAATCCGGTTTTTTTCGCGGTGTACTTGATGGTATACGTTCGACCGTTGGTCAACAATCATCATCATCATCATCATCTGGTGCAAAAGCACTATTGGAATCTGAAACTGAAGAAGTTTTGAAACAATCACATTTTAAAATCAATACGGTAGGTTTGAAAAAAAAATTTTTATTATTATTTTATTCATACTGTAATGGTCAAGTGATATGTGTGTAAAGAGCTAATTGAAAGGTTGACCAAATGACAATGTACATATTATTACATAATAGCGTCACTAGCTAATCATACAAGAAAAATTTTTTTTTTTTTGTAAAACTGAATTATCAAATTTATCCATAACGAATTTAGAATTGTAATTATTATTATTAGTGTCTACTGTTAATATTAATATTTTTATATTATCCCTTGAAATAATATTTCATTTCTACACTAGATTTGTGTTAAGCTCTCATACAGAATTTTTTTTTCACAGCGAAAAAAAAATTCTGTATATATTCAGGGATTATGTTTGTATTTTTTTTGTTGTTGTTTTTTGTTCCAAAAAAAATAACAGACAGATAGTTCATTTTCTTGTTACATCCATACTTGATATATTCATTCTGAATACCTACATCATCATCAGTTTTTTTTTATATAACATTAATTCTACAATGAAATCTTTATCTTTGTCCCAAAGCAATTTGTTTCTTTTCTGTTTTTTCGTTTTTGTTTTTGTTCAATTCACACGACAACAATAATAACAACAACAACAACAACAGCAATAATAATGATGAAAATATTTAGACAAAAATGACAGCTACTTCAATAATAATGATTTGATCCAGAAATGTGAAAATGCACACACACACACACACACAAAAAAAACTTTTTTCTCTCTCTATGTCTCACTGATCAATCTGATGGTACCTTTTCTTTTTTTTTTTTTTGTTTTTTGTTTTCGATCAATGACTGAATATCCAAACAATCAGCCTAAATACCAATTAAATGACGACATTTGTGAATTTCTAAAATGTCAGCATACTTTGCATATGGAGAAACAAATAGAAAACACATAAATGCGAACAAACACACAAACACACACACACACACACACACAGAGAGAGAGATAAATAGAATTTGATAAATTTAAATTCAATTCACGATTAGGACAAGTTTTGCATTTCTATTTTAAACAATTTTTTTTCTCTCTTCACAAAAAGTTTTTTTTTTTTTCTATTCAAAAAAAAAAAATATTTCACCAATTCACCAAAAAAAAAACTTTACATCTTATTTTGAACGAGAACGAAAAACGGCTATGTCATGGAGAAAAGATGTGAAAAAAAAACGAAAATGCAAAATCCAACACAACCTGGAAGGGATTAATTTTTGCGATAAAAAAAATTTCATTTTCATCGATTTCTATTCACACTAAACTCTTAGAGATTATGTTGATGTAACAAAAATTCCAACGAAAGACATATAGAGCGAGCAGAGAGAGAGAGAGAGAGAGTGAAACCAATAATTGGATTGAATTTAATCGGATAGAAACTATTTTCTAATTGTTCTCATTTGTTTTTTTAAAAAAAAACGAATACTAATGACGGCAACCACTTACTTTGTGTGTGAAAGCAAATATGAAAAAAAACAAAATAACATGTAGAATAACATGAGAATCCCTTAAAAAAGGGAATCTTGATATCGATGTCAAATCCGTATGCGAACAAACTTTTTTTTTGAATGGTTCAAACTCACACACACACACACACACACAAAACAAACAAAATTTTTTTTCTTCTTCTTCTGCCATGTCAAATTCAATTAGGAAACATTTACCCCAAATTCAACAACGAAAAAGAAGATTTTATTTACATAATTTAGTAAGCACATACAAATTATATTAATACATGACGTTTAGCACTTATAGCCAAACAGAAGATGCTGGAATGATGATGATGATCTTAATTGGTAGTTTTGGTCTCAGTCTGTCAACCGATCGTACTTGACAATTTAAAGTTCTTTCTTACTCCATTACTAATTTCTTCTTGACAACAGGTCACCCCAGACTGTTTGCATCGGAACTTTTCTGCTTTCTGCCCGCTGATGCTGCCTTTGCAATGGGGAACAACGGTTTCGTATTCAATTCTGTTGTAAGTTTGCATTCAATTTTTCTGAATTACTTACTGCCCATGCCGTTACTTCACCACCACCGTTAATTTCTAATCTCCTTTCACTTCTGCTTTCCATCTTCGCTTTATAATTTCGGTGTTGGTTGTCTCTTCCATCTTACGGCCCTTTTGTGGAGGAGTACGTCTCTTTCCTTGCTGCATTGTTGTTGCTCGATTGGTCTCGTCCATTATTAACCCATGATCAGCCAGATGTGTCTCTCATTGCCTCTCCCGGTATTCCACTTACAGTTTTCCTGCTATGGTTTTATTTCGGTCTCTTGCTCGTTTTGTAACAAAGACCAACATGAGTGCAAAGATAATCAGCTCATCATCTGTTACCCTGCCTTGATCTCAAATTAACAACTGGTTGATAAATTCGACTGATTCTTTCGTAGTGATTTGTAAGCTAAACTTTATTTTATGGGGCTATTCTACCCTTTTAGGTGCCTAGAATTGGTACCCCTGTCATAAACTTTGCAGAAGCTACGTGATCTTCTTCCAGTCCCGGAAAATTCTAGTTGGTCCCCTTTCTTTATAAGGATTTAGACATATGCTTCAATATCACATCTCTCTTAGTAAAATCTTAGGGTGCCCTCAAGGCTGTGGTTTTCCGGTTCGTTATTCGGTCCATATTGATTGTCTTTGCGAAACAATTTCCGCGCCGCCCAAATTTTGAGTGGCGGTAGTGGCGGAAACCTCGTACGGACAGCGCGTCAGCAAAGCGGATAGAGCAGAGTGAAAGGTAATAATTAATGCGAAGTCTCAAAGAGAAAAGATCCATTAGAGCGGCACCCACATCGGTGAGTTGAAATAAAGAAAATATAAAACAAGAGGATAATGACGGAATTGAAAGCGACTTTGAAAATAAATGCAGTTTTGACGTTGTTGTTCAATTTTCACGTCGGACATGGCAGCAACAGATGTTTGTTTGGTGAAGTTTTTTTCAGCACTTCTACGTGAATACTGTTATTTTTGCAGTAGGCAATTGGTTTAAATTCAGAAAAATGGAAAGCGGTTTATCGTTTCGCTACTTGCTCGTTTGAATCTCCGGCAGCTGGAGTTCGCATACTTCACTTGTTCGTTTTACTGCTGGGTCGGCCACAATGGTTCGGTTTTTTCTTAGTTGTCGAGATGACGGAGGTTGATATATTTCAACTTTCTGAGCTACTGTTCACTCGAGCTTGCACTGGATGTGGGGCAGATTTCCTGGGTGAAAGTTGCTGGTACTGTGCGTTTTATCCGCGGCCAAACAATGATCTGATTCCAATGGGTGTAGATTTGCGTAATACCCAGGTCCTCTTTGTACCTGTGCTTTCAATTTTCGGCGCAGCTTTGATCGATGTTGTTCTAGGCCTAGTCCGACTTGCTATCCGAGGTTTCAGATTTGACCCACGTTCGAAGAATGAGGGGTGGTAGCTCTGAAGGAACGGTGATTACCTTGCAGCGAGTGGTTTCTTTAGTTGGGAGCTTTGTTCGGTGCTTGTTCCATTAATCGTTGTTACTCAAAGTTTTTCGGCCCACTTCATCACGTTCCACTTCAGACTATGTTTCGTGATGAAGCGGGCGTAATTTAACTGAATAAGTTTTGTTCTTCTAAAGTTCTTCTGGAAATGTTCGTGGGATCAATGCTGCCTGATGTAATGGAATAAGCCAGTTTTACCGAGCCCGCCTGATTTTGTTCCAGCACTTTATTGTGCCAGTTAGCCAGGGTCTGACCGGACCCCTGCGAAACGCAAATATAGCCAGATAAATATCGAAGTTACAACTGATTGTATTCAGTGGCTCCCGGTCTGTACCGTTGTAGCGGCTTCTGAAGCTTCGCCAGTCGATAGCCCGCACAAATCCGGTTTTTTTGAAAAAGTGCTTTAGGTTTGCACGTGCTGCTTTTTGAGCTGGAGTTTCGCCGTATTTTTTCGGATTTCTTTTTTCGCATGGCGAGAAAACTTTTCCGGCCGGATATTGTTTTCTTTCTTTGATGCTGAAGTCGTACTGATTCAGCTGCATTGCTCGGCCTAGTGGTGTTTTTATGCAGTTCAACATTTTAGAGCCGTGACAAAAGCGATGGTAACTTTTTCCGCAGATGGTGATGCCATGATTCACATTTCAATTTATGCATGAATTTCTCGATATGAGTTTTTTGATAGTAACAATTTCCGCAGGAAAGTTGAAGCCATCGTTTCTTCTTGGTCTTCTCGTTTCAGGATATTTCCTGAATCCCGCATTTACACATGGGTGTGCGTGTATATGTCATTGTTGTTATGATGATTGTCGCATCAAAAACATTTCCGGACTGTATTGGATGATTTTTTTTTTTTTCAAGTTCATCTCTTGACTTTGAATTGGACTAGATCTCGTGATTACTCTTCCCTCCCCTTCCCACCAGACATGGCTTAGTTTTGTTTCATTGATTTTTTTCGTTCATCTCTTTTTAAAGTAATAGCACTTGAATTCATTCAATTTATTTTTTTTTTTCGTTCTTTTTCAATTTCATTTATCATTTTGATCTGTATTCCATTAGAAATAATAGTAATCATCATTATTATTACCTACCATATATATATATCTTAAAGGCTGTATTTTTTTCCCCTTTGGTTCATATTGAGTCATATTGATGTAAGTAGTTGGGCGGTGCAAATTCTTTTCTACCTTTCTATTACAAGCCAAAATAAAAAAACTAATTGAAAAGAATTAGAAATAGAAATTTATTCACTGTGTGTATGTTGCTTGTTGATGATGATGATGATCGTTTTTTCAAACTTTTCACTCTCCTATTTCTTTCGTTCTTTTTTTTTGCTATACTTCACTTGATGTTGATGATTTAAAGTGATCTATAATTTTTTTTTGTTCTCAAAATCATAAAATTCATGTTTCTTCCTGTAATAATAATAATATAATATATATCGATAAATCGATTGATTGATTGATTGATTGATTTCTTTTTTTTCAAAAAAAAAAAATTTTTCTTTCACCATCTATTTTTCACAGAAACCAATCATCAAATTA